TATATATATAAAGCATCCTAGGGAACCCAGGAGGCATCCTAGGAAACCCAGGGCAATATTCTGTCGCTCGCTTCTCGCTAGCAAGCGACAGAATTTTACCGCTGTGTTCCCGAGGATGAGTCGAAAGCAGCTGACGAATATGACGGATTGAAAATCAGAACACGGACTAATTGAAATCAGAAGAATCTGAAGGTTCACATATATATCCTTTGCTTGTGCTTATATATGCTTATGACAAGCGGTTGTCACTTCATGCGATTACTTTTTGCATGAAATTCTTCTAAATCCGATACTGATTCCGCCACGCAATTTGAAACCACCTTTACTAAACTAATCAAAACCCGGGTTCCAATTTTTATTTATTCTAAATCTTTTGGTTAGTATTTGTGATATTGTGATATATTGATACAAGAGAATATAAACTAAGAGAATGAATACCCGTGCCCCATCATGTGCACGCTTTGATGCTATCTTTAGAATGTATTCTAAAAATATCGTACAATGATATCATTTATTTGATCGTTCGGTTTTCTGCACGAGCATAGTACGCGCGTGCTCTACGCTGTTTGCTAACGTTTACTTGTGCTTTTCTTATGTTCAAATGTTCAAATCTGCCCTCAAAATGACGATGTAGGTCAAAAGCTTTGGAAAATAAATGTAAAAATACTCCAGAAAGTTGAACAAATTACTACTTCAATTTCCTGTCGTATTTGCCAAGCTTTCGACGTGCACATTCATATTCAGGGCAGAGTCGAAATAACGGAAGAACCACAAAAACGTAAGCAAACAGCGTAGAGCGCGCGCAGTAAATGCGCGTGCAGAAAAACAAATGGTTTAAAAATACCATGAACAAACTGTGCACATGATGGGTACAAGGCTATATAGGGGGAATTCCTTCTCTTAGTTCATTATCTCGTTTTGATATCTATAATGATTACATATTTATCATTCGAAATGGTTTAAAAATAGCATCAAACTGTGCACATGATGGTTACAAGGCTATATAGGGGGAATTCCTTCTCTTAGTTCATTATCTCGTTTTGATATCTATAATGATTACATATTTATCATTCGAAATGGTTTTATTTATTGCTTAGTACAGAAGGAAATTTTCATTTTTCGATCGTCATGCATAATTATACATATATACATCTTAATTAAAAGTACCTGGATTGAACTCGATATTAGATTAATGCTTGAAATTTCAGCTCTTCATATCTTTCATTCGAATAAATTCTTCTTTTTTTTTGTTGTCATACTTTGTTATTAAAAAAGAAAAAAACGAAATTAAACTCATGGCCATTTAGGTCGGACCTTGATCATGACATAACAATATTGCCAATTAAAGCTTTTTATAATAATATGCATTTGAATTTATTCTTTTTTTTTTTTTTTATCCATTATTATTAAAAAAAGGGCAAAACGAAAGAAAACTCATTGCCATTTAGGTCGGACCTTGATCATGACATAACAATATTGCCAATTAAAGCTTTTTATAATAATATGCATTTGAATTTATTCTTTTTTTTTTTTTTTATCCATTATTATTAAAAAAAGGGCAAAACGAAAGAAAACTCATTGCCATTTAGGTCGGACCTTGACATATCGATATTGCCAATTAAGGCGGCGGGATTCAAAGAGTTGAAGACGTCAAAAACAGTTGGATCCAAGCGATCTATTGTGGAAGTTTCTATAGAAGGATTTAAACAGCTGATTGCGACTGTTTTTGTTTTCTTTTAACTGAGCATGAATTAAATCTCCGCTTTTATAGATAATATTGGTAAAAGTGATTTTTACGAAGTAGGCACAGGCTTTGTGCACCCGTTAAAAATGGATGTTACAACTAAGAGTTTGCAGGTGCATATATCAGGTACGACTAAGTGTTTAGTCAGCTCGGTCATGAGATTTGTTTTTATTATGAGTTTTTGAGCAGCTCACAGTAGTAGATTAATGGCACAATGTCAGGATATAACCCACCCCGAATGATGGAAAGTAATATCATGTTAACTTAACTTTTTGAAGATATTAAAATATTGATATATAGCTACTTATGAAAAATTACCACCTGCCAAACTATATGATCATGGCCAAATGTAAATGTTGCCGGTGAATCGTTATCTTCATTGCTCTAAACAACTCGGTTTCGAAGTAACTGGTTTGGACTTTTTGTCTTTAAAAATTAGAAACATGCTTTCCAAAATTCATAATATTGTGGGAAGAACAATATTGTGATAAATGTTCTAACTGGAGCTAAAAATAAAAATCTGAGCTGAGATCCAATCTGGAGTTCAGATCTTTTTCTGAGCTATATTTCCATATGGTACGCTGCCATAGATAATTTCATTCACATTTCAAACGTTGCTCAAAGACTATCACACGAACACAAACATACTTTATATGATAAATGGGTTAAGTCATAATTTTTATTTCAATTTTCTGCTGCCAAATAATATCATTCTTTATTTGAACCAGTAATTAGATCAAGAGAAGTGACAGTTACCACTAAGCTATCAGATAAGTAGAAAAGGGACATTAATCAGCGAACGTAATGAAAATGAGCAGTATGGAACTGGAAAAGAACTAAAGAACAAATATAGAATTCACGAAAAAGCTTATTCTCGCCAAAAACTATTTTCTTGAAGAAAGGCTGTTACACAAGGCTAAAATTTTGGTTATTCAGAAAGTCTAACTTGTTTGGAAATGGACATGACCGATGAAAGTGGAATCAAAACCCAAAACAAAAAATTTTATTCGAAAATGAGGTTTAGACCTTCATTTGCTTATTACCCATATATTTTCTATAAAAAAGCCTGACAAAGCAACATTCTAACACTAATGCAACAAAACATCTTTTTACGATTGAAAATACCGCTTGAAACAGGCATTTTATCATAGTACATCAGTTTCTAACTGTTTAAAAAAGGTTTTGAGTGTTAACCCAAACAACGAAAATTGGGATCAAAACTCATACGAAAGACTAGTTTTTGGCGCTTTTTGCCATTATTGCTTGTTATTGAAAAACTTTTACTCTTAATATGGAAATGAGCAGGAAATATATTATTAATAGTAAGAAATTATAATGATAAAAAAACATCTACAACCCCAACGTCATAAAGGTGCCGATCCGATTCTCATAGTCCGCTGTTTATTTTCTGTGGTATTAAGAATTCTTTTTTTCCAGACCGAAAAGGCTTATGTGCTTCCTTCAAAGTAATTGCTATCTGGCACTACATTTGATTCTTATAATTCTGCTTTTGTAGAGGTATTAATCAGCTCTTTGTTTTAGAACTCCAATATATACAGAAGTTGTGTAATACAGCTAATTGTTGCTAATTTTTTTAAGCGCTTTTTTAAAGCGTTATGGATACTTCTACCATCGACATGGACATATCATCCCTATCATCATCAGCAACAGCCTTTTAGCGTATTTTCTTATCCTCAGTTTCAGAATGATCCTGCAGGCAATTTTTGGATTGGTTCTCCTATGTTGTCATTTTGTTACCAATGACGCTCAAAGTGTGGGTGAGTACCGTTTAAGTTTCTTATTTTAAAAAATAAAATAAAACTAAAAGTTAAAACTACTTCTCCTATATATCCATGCAATGCAGATTTTTAAAATTAATCATAATATGTTCGATAATAGGTTTTTTCCATTTTCAATTTCCTGTAACATTTTTGGCCTAATTTGTGACATTAATGTCCTGTTTTGGTAGCTACTGCTTCATGGAAAAGTTTTCATTGAATATAATATCGATTCTTCAGTTATAGTCCTGTTAAAATAAACGTTTGGATGACATTTGTCCGTTTTCATTGTTATTCTTCTCTCTTTGTGTAGACTTATGAACAATTTTGCAATTCTCCACTGTGATACATGTTTCTATTTTTGTTTTACCAACTGCACAACTTTTCTTTTCGGATTTTACCTTTATGATTCATCCTCATTTATTCTTTTCATTTATCCTTAATATTTGCCCTTTCTTGATCGTATCTTACCTCGCTGTTTATTTCTTTTATTATTGGCCTATTAATTAGTAGCTACATGTTGTCTTTATATATAGACTGCCTATCTTGAAAAGCTTTACAGATCGTCAGGACATTTAGATCTCTAAATGATTTTAAAAATCGCATCCGTAATAAAGATTTAACACTACCATTTGATGACGGATGCAAAGGATGCATCCTTTGTAATAGTTAAAAGTAGTTATTATATATTTTATTTTATTTACTTATATGTATCATTTAGAATTTTTATTTTGGAACAATTTATACTTTATTCTTTAGAATTCGAGTTTGTATATTTTATTAAATTTATATAGGTTAGGTGTCCCCTAATAGAGGGTTTCTTCCTCGGCTCGATTCTTTTGACACGTAACAATAAAGTTTATTATATCTATCAATTTATCGCACTTAAACTACTATCGATTAATACTGAACGTTTAACCGATCCCGAATTAATATTGTTTCCTAACTACTGTTGCTATGTGGAACGACCTAAAATGTGTTTCTGATACACTGTAGTGGAACAAACACCGATTACTGAAAATCTTTGTCTTAGAACTAATGCTTTCTTTAAACTCTTCTGAATTCGAGTTTGCTTGTCTAACATTCTATATTCCCGATTGTAAAAACAGCTGAAAACTACTCATTCAATCTCAGATCTCTCACCGTCAACGTTTTTTGAAATAGGTGTTTTCGTTTACAAACTATGAAATTTAAAAAATTGTACCAGAGAGCAACTAGGTAGAAAGCTATGGTATCTGCTACTTTTTGAAATTTAAAAAGACACAATCAGTGAACATAAAATTTTAAAAAGCTCAACTATTGTTTTTTTTTTAGGAATACATAGTGTTAACGTTTTTAAATAACAGTTTTCTTAATGCTATTTTTAGACAGAATATAGTTATTTTTATTGTTAAATCAAGATTTATACCTACTTGCAAGAACGTTTCCAAATCAAATCAGCAAAACATAGAAAAATAAATACACCTAATAGCGCATGATAACGATAATGATAATGATGATGGTGATGGTGATAATAAAGATGATGATGATGATGATATTTGTTTCATATTTATGTATGTTATATATTATGTATACTACACCTACTTGCAAGAAGGTTGACAAACAAGAATAGAACATTAGTAATTTAGTGAGAAAGGAATACATTAAAAGACAAAAGAAAAAGTTCAGCTTCAGTGATGTTCTTTTGCTTTTTAATATAATTCCTATCCCACTAAATCACTAATGTTCTATTTTCGTACGACAACGTTCTTGCAAGTAGGTGTATATATCTTTTATATTGTATATTTCTATATCTATCCCTTAGATAAATAAAAAATAAATAAATAAAACACGTCTATTTAATGATATAGTCATGTTCTCTCACTTGAATATAAAATAATGATGTAATTCACAAACTGAAGTTTTACGTTTATACGAAGTAGAGAGAAACGTTTTTGCTTAAGATTAGTATTTTTCTTATCCATTGAATTATTCATTGATCTTATGTAGGTGATTGTGATTTTGAGGGAAGTAAGTGTCATTGGAGAAACGCAAAGGGCGAAGACGATTTTAACTGGACTCGTAAACGCGGGCGAACAGCAAGCATCATTACTGGACCAAACAGGGATCACACTACCGGTATATTAAAACAAAAAATTGTAATATATGTTCTTGGTCGACCTTTCCCTCACATTAAAAAAATTTCCCTCAATTTAAAGTCATATATATTATTTTTGTACCAAGTCATATCGCACCAAATCCGAAAAGTTGTAACATTCATACTCGTAATTTGTAATCTGTTTTTTTTTTAACATACTTTTTTTGCGCGTTTAAGGATATGGGGTATATTTATACATCGAGACATCCTCCCCACGCTACAAAGGACAAGTAGCTCGACTTATAAGTCCCCGGATGCGAGGTCCTCAATGCATGACACTTTGGTATCACATGCATGGTCCTGACATAGGGCACCTTGCCATTTACGCCAACAACAATGGATCACTTCGTCTCCTTTGGCTTAAAGGCGGAGAACAAGGACATTATTGGCATGAGGCACTCATTGATATCCTGGAAACTGGAGAATACAAAGTATGAATATTTACTTCTATTACACATACAGTTTGCTCAATATCTCTCTTCTGATTGGCCTCGTGTGAAATTGACATGATCGATGTATTATCTGTGAACTTTCCTTCAGCGATTAAAATATTTATCATGTCAACCTCTTTCAAGGTCAAAATGGAGATTGAAATTAAGTTTGCTATTTTTTTTAGAAAGGATAATGAAATATTTATTATTTCTCAATTGACGCGGTTTTCTTTGTTATTCACAAGGCTTTATTTTTGTTATAACCCTCATTATAAATGCAATGTCAATATATAGTCATTAACACGGTTAATAACTATATATAGACCTCGCATTTATAATGAGCAACATTTGATATATAGAAAACCTTCTCAACTGATAAATAAACTACTTAATTACCTCGAACGTCGGCAATAGGACTATACATCCCTTGGGCCTGTGGCCCTCGGGATGTATATGGGTTATTGCCTCCATTCTCGGTTATTAACTCTTACTTATTAGTTTACAAAATGTATAGTAAAACAATTAATAAGTTGGTTTTTCGCATGATATCTATCGTAAATTATCACGACCTCGGTCATTTTATCAGCATCAGCCTATGGCTTCGACTGCCGATAACACAGCCATGGTCTTAATTTACGATATCATGTTCAATCTCATCCACAATTTGTCGAATATTATTGGTGGGTTTAATTTTTTTTTTTCTATATCGTGCAGAATGTTGAATCAGCTGAATCGTAAGTTTTCAACAAAATTCTTTCTGTGTGACAGCACATGATATAGTCAGTGTTTTAAAACCATATTGAGCAGATAATGAGATTCAAAGACTTTTAACGAGTGACCGAAACTAAAAGAATATATATTCCATTATGTTCTATTTGTTCGTCAGGTGGAAATAGATGGAGTTCGCGGGAAAAGTTATCGAGGTGACATAGCTATCGATGATATTGCTTTTTATCCTGGCGTTTGCACAAAACAAGGTAAAGGTCATCCAACCCACCGATCAACCAACTAATCAACCAACCCACCAACCCACCAACCCACCGACCCACCAACCCACCGACCCTCC